GCCTTTATGAAAACAAATACATAAATACGTGAGCATGATTGAAGCCCAAGCTCGATGTTACTACGTTGGCGTTTCAAAAGCAAAATAGATATAACGGGACCACCCCGTAACACGATCACCCACTGAGTTGTACATGTTAGTTTATTACATATGATACATCCGAGTGTGAGGGTGTAGCACGTCATATATTTATGTGCAACACATGAATGTCAAACCAATAAATAATGAGTAAGATGTTGACACGGAAGTGAATGGCTTTCGCAATATTAGGATAGGCGATTCGTAATAATGCGTAAAAAGACATATATATGACATAAATTGATGTAAGGTATATCAATGACGTGCTACTGTATTTCTTCCTTATACGTGTTAAGAAGGTAACGCCGCACTGAACCCGTTATATCAATTCAATCTAATGGACAGGAAATTGATACAATAATTAATGATACAATTAGTTGGCTACAAAATATGGAATCGGAGGTTAGACTGCTACTGATATGGCTGTATACTCCACGTGGAAGTCTAATTGTGACAATATAGGTAGGGAATTGCTAGCTTCACACCCCTTTTCCTTAGATTCACACCTTTCCTTCAAAATCCTACATATCAAATCCCTATTTATTATAAGAATTGATTTTTAATAAAGGTATTACTCAATAATTTAGGCCATTAATTGGCAAGTGATACGTAAGACATACATAAGATACTACTCACGCCTGTGGCTTAGCTCCTACAGCGTTTACTGATAGGTCAACACGCAATAACATGCTTCCTCCTCCCGAGGTTGTGTATGCCAGTCGGTAGCATCTAATGGATACTGTGCAGACGTTTTCACGTAGCCAAGGCTATGCTGTAACGATTAAAAGATCGATTGCAGGAAAGATTGTCCACCTTAATTGTGATCGAGGTGCCGTAAACATACAAAGGTTGGAAAAGAGCGCCAACGCCAGACCCGCTCACGCGGAATTGATTTCCCGTTCCTTTTACGTGGAAATTCCTCCATAAAAAGGGTAAATGGAAGTTAAACGTGATGAATGGATGCCACAATCACGAGCCGTCACTCCATCCGTCTGTTCATTCGACTCATAGGAAGGTAAATAGCGCTTGATAGCGTCCTTATTAATGCCGACGATAGTCTCTTCGGTCACAAGTGCGCCAGACTCAATCGTAGCTTTGACCTTTTTGCCTATGTTTGTGCCAGCAGCTACAGCAGCGCGCAAGATGTCGCACTTAGCCAAGTGGCAGAGAAAGTACTCGTCTTTATCCAGCGACGATTGCGTACCTTGTATATGTAAGATTCTGAAGGAAGGCTGTGAATCTAAGGAATAGGGGTGTGAATTCAGCAATTCCCTATAGGAATTGTATTAGAATTGATAGAAGGAAAAATACGAAGATATCTCGTTGGGGGCTATTGACTCCATAAAAATATACAGAGTAAATTAAATGGAAACAAATAATCCATTTAATAACCGAAAAATATGTTCTTTACAATTAAAAAAATAAAAAGTGCCTCACATCTTATGTACATATGTTAATCGGGACAAGATAGGATATAATTACGATTTTCTATAATTATCTGACAAATATGATTGAGACATCATCTCACGTTTCTTTCCTAAAATTTACCTGCAGACGAAAAAGTCTGCAGGTTGTGAAGTCATTAGTAAGAGCTAAGCAAAAGATTATTTTAATGGGTTCTATTAATAAGATAAAGCGTTTTAGAGTAAACAACCTGATAAGCAGGAAGGGACATGTGATCAAACAAGCAGAACAACATTACAAACAACCACAGCACCTACAACAACGACAACAGCAGCAGCAACAGCAGTATCAATATTAATAGATGAACAACAACAGCAATCGCAGCACCTACAACACCAACAGCAGCAGCAGCAAAAGCATTAGCACCATCAACAGAGCAACAAAAACATCAAACGCACCACCTACAGCAAAAACATTAGAAGCATCAACAGCAGCAGAAATATCGATAACAGCAACAGAAACAACAATATAAAAGCAATACCATTGATATCAACGACATTAGCACCAACTGACTTTGTTTACGGCCAGGAACGATATTACGAAGACGCAATTTAAGTCCTCATATCTCGCATCTCCGCCCGCAACTTATGGCTGGAAACGCAGCATGCCTGCACCTGGTAGCTGAAAGCGCAGCACGCTTGGGGCAGACCCCTCTCCGCCGCTTCCTATGCAGTACAGGGTTAGTCACAACCGTAAAGTAGAGAAACAAAATAATTTAGGACGAATGGCTTTATCTGCACCACGTTAGCTTGAGTATTCAAGGACGAAGGGCATTTTTTTATTTTCGTCATTAGATGATAAATTTTTTATCTTCCCGAAATAATAGTCGTTTTTTAATGTTGTAAAAATGACGCTGACAATATGCTATCCCGTTGCAATTCGAAAATAGCAAAAATGTACAGTCACGGTCTAAGCGTAATTTTAGTGACATTATATTGTCCGTTTTTGGACGTGCTAAATTGCCTTGTGTGTATTCAGATAAATAATTGCAATTTTAGAGACAGTATATAGAAGATATACATCTTCTAGCTATATAGAACAGACATCGGTTGTGAGATGACTGTTTTTAAAAACTACTAAACTATTTATTATTGATCTTGGTTGGGGGTGTTGACATAAAGGAATGTGTGTACGGCTTAATGTTACTGACGATCGTTCAAATGAACATAAAAGCAACGCGCTACGAGATATTTCTGCAAGTGCATCTTCAGTAAACCTGAATGGTGCAGAGTATGTTGTGAATATACGAACGATTTTATGAATAATATGCAAAAATGAATCGATCTCATTTAATTTATAGTTTTAAAATATATGAGATAGACACTAGAAGCTGACTGTCACTGGCACCTCAATGTACTAAGTCTAATATTCGCAAAGGCATTAAAAATTTAGACCGCCGGAGGTATTCTTGTAAAGTAACAAATTACATTTTGTGTATGTATGGTCGCCTAACTGGCCGGATGATCTTCTTGCAGAAACGCTTTGTAGTGTAACGAGGTGTGTGTATCTTCTTAAAAGATTAAATAGTGTCACTGTACTACTGTAATCTTTGCCCAGCATTAATTAATCTAATAATTGTATTGCGAATGCGTTTATCACCTACATGAATTAATTATTCAATTAATGGAAGCTTAATGTAAATTATGGTCAAAGTGTTAGTTGGAATAAAATGTTTCGCACGTGACAAGTATTGCGCACATTTCATTTTTACATCGTAGCAGAAGCGAGTGGACCTACAGAAGGTTATAAAGTAAAGGGATATGTAATCCACCTTTAAGATTACAGAGACCCGATATATATTTTTCCTTATATTCCTATGATTAGTTCACAATACTGTGTACCTGTTAAATTGCCACACATTGTATATACAATCGTATGACATCCAGCTTTATGCCTTTTAAACAAAAGGTGATTAATAATGGTTGGGAACGGCTTTAACAAAATGGTTTACACTAGGTACCTACCACACTTACACACGTACGAATCGATACCATATCTGCACCATCATTTTAATTTCAGCGCATCAGCACTAAATATGATATCATTAATAGTGAAGGTAATGTTTTTTTACTTGTAATCGTAATGCGTCGTCAGCATCCCAATCGAATTGAGTCTTAATTACAATATATACATATCTAGTTATAGATATAGACATTAAGATATATATATCGCGAACAAGCTGACGGCTTAACTAAGTATGTCGACCGATTCTTGTACGCAGCTTGTTGCTTTGGCCGTTTGTTGCAGCTCATTATTAGCTAGCATAATAGGCGCGACTGACCCTTCACGTTTTGTGATGATATCATTTACTTGTTAGTGTATTCAGAGCATAGCTTTATGTAATCACGTTGTAGACGCTACATTGAGAGTGTTGTCAGCCTCTTAGTTGTAAAAGATAAGTATAATGAGCAATGTCAAGATAGCATTTACACGTATGTACCCTACGTCGCTCATTGTATAATAATCACCAGAATCGAATTGTATTCGGTGTACTGGTTGATCTCCTTACTTGTAAGTTGCACGAGATTGAAATAAATGGAATTATTGTCTAATTTAAAAATATATGGTAATACATATCTCACTACGAAAAGAATGAATCAATATTAACTTTGATGGTATCATCAGAACCGCTACGCCTATTCGTTGACATAGGCCATCTACATCAACCAACTCAACCACCAGTCGACGCTGAACGCACGCAGTGGATATTGAGAGATAAGATATTTTTGGAGTTTGTCGTCCACTATACGTGAGAAAAAAATGAAAAGGGGTTTCATTACGACTAGCCACGCTATACTTCACACTTGTGTTTTTTATGATAGTCAGCCCACCTGTGCGCGTCCAGTAAACGTTAGGATTCGAGCCACCTTCCTGCAGTGAGTCAGTGTACAGTAGTAGGAAGCTGAAATACTGTTAGTATAAGCGGAAGGTGTCCCGTTTCACCAAATGGCGCTTCGTGATCCGTCCAAAGATTGTCACAGTTCCTGAAATGTAGGGAAATCCACGCTGCTAAATGAGCCAATACAGCTGCACTTGGCGGGTCAAAATCGACGAGTCAAAGTCGTCAAGTCAAACTGATCAAAAATCGAACGCCTTGACGAGACAAACTGCCCGACAAATTGAACTCGACACATTGAACTCGACACATTAAACTCGACAAATTGAACTCGACACATTGAACTCGACAAATTGAACTCGACACATGATTGAACTCGACACATTGAACTCGACGAGCCGAATTCCTCAACGAGTCGATACGTTCGACGAGTCAGAGAGGATGAGACCAACTCGCCGACTTAACATTCTCAACATGTCGCACTCCTCAACATGTCGCACTCCCGACATGTCGAACTCCTCCACGGGTCGTACTACTGGGGTGTTGGTCGCTTTTCGTCTCCCCCGAACGTCTGTGTCCATTAGCCATCGTGCCGCTGTATCTTCTGAGCCGCTGGCCCATTATGCCGGGGATGCTGACCGTGGCGCTGCTCTCGGTGGGCGTGTCCCTGTCGCTCTGCGTCGTGCCCGCGCTAGCACGTCTCACGGTCTTTCCCCTGCTCTTGGCGCTCGTGCACAAGTTCGCAGCCGCGTATGCGACGGACAGCGTCCGCATTGAGTTTTGCTTTGGCTCGTGTGCCTTGCGCAAGCACCGCAGTGCCGACTCGGAGCTCGCGCGTGGCGTCACGATCTCGCTCTTCTTTGTCACGGTGCAGAGCGAGTTCCTCAAGTCACTGGCGTTTGCCAAGCAAGGACTCGCACCTGATGAGCTCCAGCGCGTGGCGATTGAGAAGATTGAGATTCATGTAACCACGACGTGGAAAATGGTGGTGAAACTCGAGGGCGTGAGTGTAGACGGCCGGATCGTGGACCCCAATGTGGACGGCGTGTTTGAGCTGCAAGACGCGGTGGCAATGAAGCTAACTGAAGCGGCGAATTGGATCACGCTGCTAGATGTAGAGCGTAAGAAAACAGAGCTGAGAGTGAAGCGAGAGGAGACGCAAGCAGCGCGCGCTCCTGGAGCGGCAGATCAAGCTTTTAGTTTCAAGATCGCGTGCTGCAGCAGATTGCGGCACAGGTGGACATCCACGTCAGCAAGTTGCGAGTTACTGTCACGGAACTGACTCCTGGAGCTGCTGCCGTTGACGGCCATGATGAAGTAAACGAAGAGAAGGATGGCATGGATGCAGACGAGGCCAGAAATGGCTCGATCTTCGGGCTTCTGTTGAAACCTACACGCGTGAGCTTTGCTCTGAACTCGTGTGACGTGTTGTCGGATGTGTTGCACGAAAACGTAGACGAGGCGTTGCAACTTATCTTGACGTCAGAGGAGATCAAGGTGGAGCACGCTATGAGCATGAAAGGCGGGAGCATCTGTGCTACTGTTGTAGACGGTGAAGACGGAAGTGAAGAGACCGTAGTGGAGAAGAAGGTGGACTTACTGAAGGGCAAAAGGGAAAAGAGCCCTGGCGAAAAACCACTACTGTCCTTTTCAAGTTTGGCCGTAAAGCTGCATGTACCACCCATGCCACGAGTACTAGGTATCGTGGAGGACATCGCTCCTATTTCGATGATGAACCGTGGGGCGCAAGTGGAGCTACTATCTTCATCGACGATCAACATCTCGATCACACGTGAGTTGGTGGTGGGAGTACTTCGCGACCTGGTCGTTCCATACAATGACCACCAGGTGCTAGTGCAGTCGGTGCGAACGCTGGAACATGATGAAAGTGTTCGCAAGCCCATGTTTGAGGAGGGCGAGATATTTTATGTGAGCTATTTCAACAAGGAGGATAGTAACAAGTCGCTATCTAGCCAACAGAAGGCGGAGATTAATGAAAAATTGCGCACACTTGAAATAGCGATGTCGCTGAACAATATTCTTAAGCTGCGCAGTCGGGCGACTGGATTGGCCAAGTGCTACCGCCGTGATCAAGACGAGCTTACCCTTGCTGATGTCAAGGCAATCGTGCTAGAGAACGCAACTAAGACAAGCAACATTATGTTCAGGGTACTGCAGATCGCGTTGCGCTCGGACAGTATCGTGATTGGGTTTGTAGAAAGGGGTCACCAAGTCTCAGAGATGGCAGTGGTCGGCTTTGGCGCCAATGTGCACACCTATGCAATTGCGGAAGGTGAGGAAAAGCAGAAACTGGACGTGGATGTGGTCGTGGGCCAGACGACGTTTTTGGTCAACGTCGAGTCTTCGGCTCCCAAAACTGTTGCTCCCACGGAAAAGCTACTGTTTGCGGACTTTGGCAATGTGGCAACAGAGTCTGACGCGGCAGCGGCGCCACGGATGCTGATGGCCCACATAAACCAATTCGAAAATGGGAACATGCTGTTTGTGCTAGCTTGAACAATGTAAAGGTGATCCTGGCAGTGGGCGCGCTGGTACGCTTTTTGCTGTATGTGGATCGACTGAGCACGAAGTCTGCGCAAGTTCTGTCGACTGCGCGTCCACCTCCAACACCGGCTACTTACTCTGAGCAATTGCCTGTGTCGGTGGATATTGCCGAAAGTGAGATGGAGACGATGACGAAGGAGGTACCAATGTCTTCGTTCAGCTTGTTTGGTGAGTTATTGCTGAAACTTGACGTCAGCATGAGCGACTGCCGCATCCTCTTGCTTCCTACTCCATCTTATTCAAAGTCACTGTATACGGATATGGATGTGGAGACATGGCAAAATGACTACGAAGTGGACTGTCACGGGGATATACCAGTGACATTCAGCATTTGTCTCGAAAGCTCTAAGGTAAAGGAGTCGATGGAGTTCAACGCGCAAAGTTTTAGTATCGGTGCGCAATACGTTCATAACGCCGAGGAGATGGAAACAATCCTGGCCCCAACAAATGTGACGTTGCACTACGCGCTAGAACAAGACTCCGTAGACTCTTTGACGTGCCACCAGAGCATTATGGTGCACATGCCAGATGTCTTAGTTTCTGGATCAGACCTGAGTTTGTCGCTGTTGGCGTCTTGTGTTGAAGCACTTGGTAACGTACAGACCATTACGCCGGACCGAGCCCGACTCCGCCTACTGAGTCGTATGAAGCAAAACGAAATTCGACGCCAGGCTGAATCGATGTGGTTCTCGACCGCTTGCACCGTCTTTTCGACGAAATTGACGAAAACGGGAATGGCCGTATTGGGCTAGGCGAGCTTCTTCTATTATTGCGCCGCGTCAAGATTGGTGATACGTTACTTGAGAGCGAGTTAGGGTATCTGGGATGTGCACTCTTCAAAGAAATCGATCAGGACGGCGACGGGTTTCTGGAATTCCAAGAGCTACGAGCATACTTGCGTGATGACCTGTTGTCCGATAACTCTGTGGCAGCTTCGGGCGCACCGTCGGGGGATGGCAGCAATGCTCTCAGTGGCTTTCTTAATTTGCGCGGAAGCGAGTACAATTCGTCCGAAGCGATCAACAAGATGAGCGAGACGAAGATTGCGTGTTCTGAACAACTCGCAGAGTGGATTCAGCGTCCTGTGTTTGTCGAACGGTTTTGGGAGCTGTTTGAGAGTGAAGCTCACCTTACTAAACGCTCCCTGTGTGATCAGGATCCGCTGGATGTGCAAAAGAAGTTAGTACGTTTGCTGAATAACTACGATGCCGCAAATCTCATGTGGGATGCTTTGGTTTTGCCTGTGTTGGAAGATCTTTGTACGGACCACGCCTTTTGCGAGTGGCTACTGCAACCATTCACACATTGCGGAGGTCTCATAGAGTACCAGAGTGCGGCGAAAGTTATCGCAAAAAAGAAACGCGGTATTTTTAGTGCAGCCATGAATGAAGCAGAACATTTGATTAGCAAGCTTACACAGAGCGCCAACCCGGTGAAGAAGGAGTTGCGGCTTACGACGGACGTACGAATGGGGAACCTGCGGCTCGTTCTAACGGACACAGAGTTGCCCACTCGTTTCTGTCGTGGTGATTTCGTCATCAAAGATGTGAAATTGTCAGTGAGGTTGACTGGCAAAGAGATCGATGAAAATGGTCCCGTAGATTGGGTCGGTTTGGCTACATCTGGCGATTCCGACTGGATGGGGCTGTTTGGGTTCAAGCTGTCGTCGTCATGTTATAGTGAAGCTGCTGCTGACATGGAATTCATCATTGAGCAGCGGGAGCTGGTTGTAGGCCTGTCTTCTAGCGATGGCGAGAATGGGTTTTCAGTGACAATGGAGGCTACAAAATGATATCAAATCAACGTGACCCCGAGCGTTCTAAGAACCTATCGTGCTCTGATGGATGCCATTGACGAAATAAGATAACAGAACGGCCTACAGACGCACCAAAACAGCTTCCGTAACTCAATAACTGCGAAGAAATGCAAAGAAACTGATTGCTTGGTTGAAAATTTCACTGGGTGTACGATTGTGCTAAAATTGAGCGGCAGTGACGAGACGATCACGATCAAAACGCATGATCGCGCTTACATCGATAATAATGTTTTGAAGGACGGCGAAGCAGCACTGGACCTACTCGAAATTGACCAGTGGGGCACAAGCAACACCTCGGTGAAGCTACCCCACTTTGGCAGCGTAAATATTGGCGTGAGCACCGCAGAAGCCTTACAAGCTACACTGTTCGTCACATAATTTTCACGATTGGAAAACCCGAGGCGACAGCATATCGTTCTGCGATCAAACGCGTTCTTCTGCAAACACAGCTCTGAATGTAGCGAAGTGAAGTATTTGAGTTTAGGGTGTGAAGGCCGAAAGGCAGTGGAATCTCAAGTAGTCAAGTTACGACCTAATGAGCGCATGTCATTGCCACTCTCGCTTTTGATGGGGATTACAGAGTTTTACGCGCGTCCTGAAAGCCATGAACACTGGATCGTCAAGACTTCCCTAAACAACGTTGTGTTGACGTCCAAGGAGGCAATCAGAGAGCTTAACGAGCACGAAGCAGAGCGTAAAGGAAAGACGCAGCAGCACCGAGGCGGTACCATCGTGCATGGTGATACCGAGGAAACTTGCACAAAGATGATTCGGCGACTGACCTCGAATGTGATCGTGCGTCGTTGGTACCTGCGTTTGCATTTCGAATGGGAAATCGCGCTCCTTCCTCCATTTGTTGTTTGTAACTCGCTTCCTTATGAGATGGAAATTCGGTTTATCGAGTACAAGTCGAGTTCATTGAGAGACATGAAGACCGAATTCGCGAAAGTGGACAATCTCCTGCGTCGCGAGGGTGCAGTCGAACCGTCTACTGGAGTGCTGAGCGGCGTGGTGGATTCAGGCCACGACATGGAGGTGTCCGGAGTTAGCGGAGGGCATCCTGGGTACCTGTCGATTCGGCTCGTGGCCAAGCAGCGTAGTACAGACAAGCAGGTGGTGTCACCGTGGTCCAAACCGCTTTTAATGATGATTTACAAAGGAGTCGAGCAGTTTACGACGTCACGAGAAAGTATCGAAGTCGATGTCGGTGTCAAGTTCAATATCGATCGAATCACTCTTCCTGGCTACCCTCGACTCGTGCGATTTTCGAGCCCGTATTGGATTGTAAATAACTCGTCACTTGCGTTCGACTACGCGTCGACTGAGCCTGGCGCGAAGCACACATCGCTCAAGTCCATGGATGTTTGTGCATCGTTCAGATACCCTATCATGATATCATTATCTCATGATCGTTTGAGTATGAAACCGGTCGGGAACCTAAACCGCCGGCCCAAGGCATGGGTTGAATTTGGTAGTATGCCGGAGACCGCGTATAAAACATCTGTGATACCGGAGCACGCAGTCGGGAGTGCGCGATGGTCAAAACCTATGAACACGACCGCGATCAACACCATGGGCGAGATCGTGTGCGGCCCGAGCGTTTTTGGCGTGAAAATGGAAGGCCTATACGGTCTTCTCGAGCCCGGCGTTTCGCTAACATTGAGCCCCCAGTATTTTGCCCAAAACTGTCTGAGCCAGAAGTTGTACATGCAGAGCTTTGCCTCGCACGATACTGACCCTCAAAAAGTGAACGAATTGTTCCACAAGAGAAGTGTTGATGTCGTGAAGCAGCTACACATGACACTGGAGGACGGTCAAACTACACCATTGTACCACTTCGAGGCGTTGAAGAAGCACGAGTCTGCAGAACAGAGCGAGCGCCATGTTTCGATCTCATTTTTGGAAGAATGGAGCAACGACGCCGACAAGAAGAATTGGTCATTTGCGATTCCGATTAACACGGCTGGAGACGTGTATCTACAAGTGTACTCATCTGTGCGTCAGCATTATTTGATCTGTCAGGCCAGT